GCCAAATTGAGGCCGAAATCCCTGCCAAACGGCCGGAATACGCGGCCGAAACCCAGCGGCGCCGCCGCGCCCCTCTCGGTTTTTACCTCCGACGAGGCCCTTCCCGGCCTCCGTTCGATGCAATTTTTATATCACCGTGATCACCATTCTTTTCTCTACAGGTTGACCGGAGCTGAATCACCAAAACACGAACCTCGCCGGAGAGCCGCTGCACCCGAGAGCGCCGCCGCCGGTAAGCTCCGTTTTTCCGTGATTTTTTGGCCCCTCGAGGGCCCTAGGGTTATTTTCTGACAAGGACCAATGCGAGCGTGGCCGAATTCGGCCGAAAACAGCCAACCCGAGGCGACTCGCCGCCGCCAGCGGCGGCGCCGTCGCCGGAGCACAGCAGAGCCGCCGTGCCGGAGTTGCGATTTGGTCCGAAAGGGGCCCTGGGCCTAATTTGGATTTTTTTTGGAACACGTGCAGGTACTGTTAGTGTATTTCAGTTCCCCAGGAAAAATTCAGGGAAAATTAGGGACAGCCTGCAGGCGCACTGTGAATCGTATTCGGATCCCGAAAACAAGTAAGGACCCCTCACCCTATTTCCTATCACGGTATTAAAGTTCAAAATGATAAAACGGTATTTCTTGAATTAACACATATGTGAAATTGCTTAAGGTTGCTAATGGAGCCCGAGTCTAGTGTGATTGATAATTTACTGTTATTTGGCCTGTTTTACAGCTTTAAATGCATTATGAGGTTTGATGTGTTCATTGTATAGTTTCGAGTGCATATATTACTGTTTTATTAATTATGGGTTGAAAGACTGAAGAACTGATACTGTGTGTTGTCTGTTTGGCATGAATTACGATTTACTTTTTTTAAAATGTGAATTGATGATGCTTATTGAGGAAAAGGAAAATGAAAGATTGTGTAGACTGATAATTGTATGATGGGGTTAGCCTGACTAGATATCCTGAGAGATGGTGGACGGACCGGGTCCGTAGGGAACCCTACCGGGATTGTGGTCTCACATGCCGGATGGGGTATGGAGATCTTATGGTTTTGGCGCCCATACCGGACGGGGTATGGGGACGGCCCGTTTCACCCTCATGCCGGACGGGGTATTGAGGTTTATGGTTTTGGCGCCCATACCGGACGGGGTATGGGGACGGCCCGTTTCACCCTCATACCGGACGGGGTATTGAGGTTTATGGTTTTGGCGCCCATACCGGACGGGGTATGGGGACGGCCCGTTTCACCCTCATACCGGACGGGGTATTGAGGTTTATGGTTTTGGCGCCCATACCGGACGGGGTATGGGGACGGCCCGTTTCACCCTCATACCGGACGGGGTATTGAGGTTCATGGTTTTAGCGCCCATACCGGACGGGATATGGGGACGGCCCTGGAAACTGATTATGAATGTTAAAGGTTAACGGGTAGCGGAACCCCTATGGACCCCCACGGATACTAGTAGGCTGGTAAATGAAAAAAAAAAGATATGTTGTACAATGATTGAATTACAAGAGGCGTGATAAGTGTTATGTTTTACAGCTTAGATTATTCAATGATTATGATAATGTTATTGTTTTTCTCATATTGTTTTCATAAATTCCACCAAGGTAAGTGGATGGTAAAGGTTTTCATGTTAATAAACGAGTTTGTTGTAAATTATGCTCCATTGGTCTTTTTGTGTTTTTCTACCCACCTTTATCTCCGTGACGGTGAGATATCGTGATGTTCTTACTGGGCTAGTGTAGCTCACTCCTTAATTAACCATTTCAGATCAGGAAGACATGGTTCCCGAGCCCGTTCCGCGGGAGGACGACGAAGGGGATGCCTAGAGACTCTGTAGTCATACGCATAGTTTATTTTCGAGTTTTCTTTCTTAGTTAGTTTAATCTTTTATATTTTAAGTACGTTTGTTTGGTTTTTTTTTCGTGTAAGGGATGTTAACTGAAATTTTGATCTCGCTTCCGCATTCGATATATTTAAATACTCATTTCATTTTAATATTTTCCGGGGCTGTTACAATATGTGTTTCCAAATGCGCCATAAAGAAAATAATGAAGGCATAATGGCAATGTCTTCCTCTCAACTCATGTTTAACTTTACAAAATTTATAAAATATATCATATATAGGCAGGTCTAGTGCAGATATATATATATATATATTTAAATCAAAAGTTAGGAATCTCAAATTAGAAAAAATACTATTTAGTATTTTATTGAGACCAAACAAAATTTTAATGAAATTGAGTGAAAGTTTGAGATATGAAAATTAGAGAACCAAAGCAAAACAAAAAAGTATTAGAAGAAAGATACAACATGCAACAAAGGAATTATGTGTTTTATCTATCAGTCAATCCTTTTTATTTATAATACTTAAAAGAAACAAAATCCTTAAAATCACAAGTACACTAATTATTTCTCGAAGAATATAACAACTTATTGACTGAGAATACTTATTCAAGTATTTGAACCAATAAAAAAGAAAACCAAGTGTCATTCTTTAAGCAAATAGTTAACATGAAGTATTTTGTGAGTTATTTTTTTTTTATGATTCGTGCAATAACTCAATTTCATAAATTCTTGGTAAAATATTTCTATTATATTTTTTAATAAGAAAAGTTACAGAATTAAATATTTTTCTTATAGTCTTAATTTTAAAAAAAATGTTACAAAATTAAATTATTTATTAATGAAAAAAGTGTAGTTCCCTAAGCAAATACCTAACATTGACCATCCAACTTTTTTAAAAATACATTCTAAGTAACTTTTGAACTAAATTTTAATTTCATTTGTTATAACACTTTAAAATACTTTAGATTTATAACTCAAAAAGAAGAAACAACTATTTGAAGTTTAAAAAAAATATATATTCTTTTAAGATTTCTTTAGATAATGATATTTGAACCTCTTAATGTGAGACCATTTACTTATGCATGATAAGACCTTGGATTGCTAATGATTTCATTTTACATTAAAAAAAAAAAAAAAAATTAATTCTTAAAAAGTTGATACTCCTAATTATGTAATTTGAAATTTAATTTGAGAAGCTATTAATTTTTTTTTTTAATATTATAGATAAGGTTTTTTGAATTACTTTAGATAATACAATTAGTATTCATGTAGTTGTCTCAATTGTAAAACTTAATTACTATCGCCTTTAACTAGAAAATTACTTGATTTCTCTTGTGCTCGCTATATTTTAAATTTGCATTCAATATGGATTTTCCCCCAACTATCCCAAGCATGGAAAAAATGAAAAAAAAAAAAAAAAGAATTGATTATACAAAATCAAGTTTTCATAAGAGAAATGAATTTAAAACTTTTTATAATACATATGAAAAACCACATTATTATTATTATTTTTTTTATGAATTTTAATCATAAGTAAAATTTTATCTATCTTAAGTTGGAGTTTTATCTAAAATATAATGTTATTTTTTTAATCAATTTTATTAATAATTAAATAGAATATTTTTTAAAAATATTTTGTTGCATCTGATTAAAAAAATTCACTGTTAATTTATAATTTTTATAAATTTATTATGTTATTATAATGTTTTTTTTTTTAATTTTTACTATTCAACTTTACCATTGTTGATAGACTAATTATATGAAATTAATACATAATACATATATCAAATTAATAGCTTCTCATTTTTGTGTAAAAATAGAACATACTGTTAAACATTGAAAAAGTAATATGTATGCATTTTTTAGCATTATGCATGACCCCAAGTCAATGTGAATGGAGTAAAATTATGAGAGTACTTTTTTCAGAGTCAACCAATATTGAATATGAAACATCTTAAATCAAAGATGCTTTGTTTGAATTCTATGCATTGTAGGCAGCTACTTTCTCTTCTACAAGACAACATTATTAGAATTTACCCCCAAAAACAAAAAAAAAAAAAAAAAAAAAAAAATTATGAATATCTTCTTCTCATCTTGTCTTTGAGTGATTAAAATATAAGTGAATTTTATTAATTTAAAATATTATGTAAAAAGATAAAATTTATTTTTTAAAAAAATATTAATACTTTAAAATAGTAAAAAAAAAAAATCAAATCGTATTCAGAGAAATTTTATATCTACCAACATCAAAATTGTATTTTAATGCGGGGGATGTAACTTTGTACGATAAGATGATCACAGACATTCTAAAACTTATTCATTGGGAAGTTTCAAGAGAAAAAAAATTGAGAGATCTTTTAAGAGTTTTAGAAAATGATAATGTATAATTAAGTGAGAGAATTACCGGTATTTATACACTGGATTTAATTTATCGGTAATTACAAAAATGACCCCATATTTATAAGTAATTACAATTTCAACTCATTATATATGAGAAATTATATAGTCTAACAGTATTGGATATGAATCAAATAGTAAAAAAATAGATCAAACAGTAATAGAATAGTCAACACCAACTCCCCCACCTCGTGTAATTTTCTTTTTTCTGGTTAATCTAACCTAAAATTATAGTGAGTTTTTAGAACATCTTTTAAATACATTTCAGACTTATACATATAATATATATATATATAAATGTAAAGAGTAGAATGGATCCAAAGAAGGTCTGGGCCCCACAGCATATGGAAAATCGAACACCCACTACGGGCTAGAAAGAAATTATAAAAAAAAAAAAAAAAAAAAAAAAAGAAAAGAAACTAGTTGGGGAGGGGGGCGGCTGACCATACTTATTTTATTTCTTCATTCCAAGACCCAACACCATTTTCATTTACTTTTCCTAACAACCAAACCAGATTTAAGCTCCTTTCCCACGTGCGCTTCCAATCCTCCCACGTGTCACAACATGTGGGACCCACTCCATACACTTGCTGTACAACCTCCCATTCATATGTAGAGGAGTTGCATGTACCGTATCTTCCAATAATTTGACTCAATTATTAATTATTTATTTTAAATTTTTTTATTAATTGTTTGCAATTATAGATGACAATTTTTACAAAAAAAAACCTGTAATTCGCTATTAAGACTAATCCCAGTTTCCAAATTTAAAGATCCCATTAGTCAAACAGATAAAAGATACAATCTAATGCAAGATATGAATGAATACATAAAAGATGACTTATTTTCATATGTAGAGAGTACATTCCCCTAAAAAGGAAACCTATCTGTCTATATTTACACCCAACACTTTCAAAACCCTTTTACCTACTTAGATATTGGGACAACTTATTTTACATTATTATTATTATTATTTTTTCAATTCTCTAGGCTTTGTCTTTTCGTGGTTGATGATATACACACAACACAAAAGGGTATTATTGTAATTTTACTTCCTTCTATTACTCCATAACAAGTCCTCCCATTGGAGCACGGTGAGGAATTCCTTTCCTCCGCTTTGCCGTTCTGTAATTATTGACTACTAGGGTTGGAGGAGGTGTTGATGGAGTAAAGCTCGCCACTTCTTTATTCTGCTTCCTATGGCTGCTGCCATATGAATCCTCTGAATCTGATTCCATCCCCTTCCTTTTCTTCGATGTTCCCACTATCTGTCAAAATTACCAACAATCATTACTACATTTTGAAATCTACCCCGTTCGTAGTCATAATTTTTAAAATGAAAACTATTTTTGAAAAACAATCGTTCGAAATAATCACGAGATATTTCACAAACCCAGCTGGGTTAAACATTTTAGAATGTACCCAATTCGTAATAATAATTTTTCTTTTGAAAAACAATCACATTCTTTTGTTGATACATATGGGTGATACGCGTATAGATATTACGATTACAACAACGTCAATGGAGTCTGTTGTGTAATATAAGGGTTGAAAAGAAGATAATAGAAGGAAGATATTTTACCTTACAGGCGAGGGAGCAAAAGCGGAAAGAATCGACGAGACTGCGATCGCAAACCTCGCAGGTGTTGATAACGCCTTTGCCGGGCCTTGGCTGAGGCCTCTGGTTTAAAAACACCACCTTCGCACTGTTTATCACATATGTCTGAACTCCAGATATGTCCAGCACTTTCTGAATCTCACATACTCTTATAACATCATGGTACGACGATCTCCTTATCTACGCACAACAATCACACAGCCCAATTAAGTACATACATATTCTTTTTCCCATAGTGAATCTGTAAATTCGTTGTGAAAATCAATCAAAGAACTGAGAAAATGTGAAAGAGGGAAAATAATGAACCTGAATAGCACGATGATCTTTATGGTAGGCTAGGCAGAGAGAGCAGAGAGCGCCATTCATACAATCCAAACAGTACATATTGCATTCGCTCTTGTGAGAATCAATATGTGTTTTGCACTGAACAAAAAACTGCTCTCTTAACAGAGGCTTAAGCCATGGAGGCCACCTGTTGTCCTCCTCATCAGGACCCCCGGCTCCCTGTCAATCAATCAAATACAGTTGTTAACAACAAAAAACAAACAAAATTGTTGCGATTCACCAATCAAAGTACGAAACAATGCAGAACACAACATTTTAAATCAAAATAATGTCAGAGACCATGATTCTTCTGTTCTTGGGCTTGATTTCCCGAACACTAGTTTCTTGATTTTCGATCGCCAGCTTTGAAAACTGAAGTTATACAGAGAGAATGTTCGTCTACTAAAAATGAGGACACAGAGAGAGAATGAGGGAGTGGGCTTTAGAGAAAAAAATGTAGACGAAAAGGGAAGAGAAAGGTTTATAGGGAGGGGAAGTGGAGGCGGCGACAGACGATAAAGAAGAAGGGTTAGAGAGAGAGAGAGAGAGAGGTTGTTCTTATCCGCAGAAGAAAAGTCTACCGTACGAACCTAACTCCGAAGCAGAGACGCGTTGGGTTCAAGGAACCCACTTCCCTATTTCCTTTAAATTTCCTCCCTCTCCTTTTCACTCTCTCCTCGGTCTTATCATATGTATTTACCTATTTTAATCCATATGAATCTCACATTCTTCCTTTGATATTTTCTCTTTTAAATTTGTTCGTTAATGTTTTTTTTTCCCTCCATTATTGTAGTTAGATATTTCTTTTTCAAGTACAAACACTATTATTATAAACAAAATTACATTAGAGTTGTAATAAAAAACTATTCACCAACTTATTAGGTGCAATAAAAAACTAATACAGAGAGAGAAAGTAAAAATGACTTAAGTCTCCAGGATTTGTACTTACTGAGTTGGGATTTTTTGTTTTTTTTTTTTTTTATTTTGTTTATTTCAGTATCATTCATAAAATATCTTCTAGTTATTGTTTCTGTTTTTCCCTTACATCTTGTTCCTTATCCTCAGACTTCTCCTCCCTCTTAACACTGTCCTGCTTGTATTTATTTACCCAGGATTAGAACATATCTTCAATAGAAAATTTTGATGCAGGATCCAAAATTAAATCCACCACATACACACATAATTAGCATTAAAATTTGAAGTTTTAATTAACTCTTCCTACTTAATCCACAATTAACTTATAATTAGAACTATGATAATTAAGATGAAAGAAAAAACACCACAAGAAAGAAGATTATATAGCCTTTTGTTAAAATTATTTTATTTCAATGGCATAATAAAGAAAAATATGCATAACAAAGTCTTGTATATGGAATTCTATACTAATCTCAATCCTAAGATTTAATATATAATATAATGTTAAAACTCAATCATATTAGGAAAATGAATAATGAATCCTACATGGAAACCAATTCCCAATCATAATAGGAAAAGGAATAACTAATCCATATATGGATTAATGAATCCTTAATAAAAAAAAAAAAAAAAAAAAAAACCTTCATATCTCAAAGGCTCCCAATTAAAACTCATTTTTCATATTACACATTAACATGACTAATTAATTAAAACCTTGGGCTTTATTCTTCATGAATTTGAGCTTGGAAATTCGACCTAATGACTTGTAGAAGATCAACGAGCTACTTCTCCATGTGACTTAGTGAATTTGGTCCACTTCTTTATTGTTCAGCCCAAACATTCCTTATTCATTCTTGAACGTAAACTTGAAAGGCTTACTTGAGTCTCTTGGTCCATGATCTAGTGAGTGGCCGACTTAGTATAATAATTTTTGTCCCGTGTGGCCCATGCACATTTTGAGTTGCATTTATGCAATGCTCATCTCCTTGCACATGTGCTCCATTATGCTTTGTGTCTTAATCTCCATTGGCTTTTAAAAAACTAGAATAGGATTTTCTAAATCAAGTTTCCAAATGTGTAAGGTCTTTAGAAAAAGTGATTGCAATTAATATCTCAATGTTATACCATAGTGACGCGATAGGGTATGAGAAGAATTGAATCAATTCCTATACCCCACTCAACATTATATGATATCAAAATTTTAACTGTTTAGATAAACCTCTCCCTCTAATTGAATCCACAATTTTAAAAAGAATGTAAAAATAAAGACTAAAAAAATAAAATAAGGAAAGAAAAAATATCATAGACTTACCAATAAGTTGATTCCCGCTTCTTAGTTCAACAAGACTTCTGAAGACTCATGCTTCTCGAAGAATTTAAAGAAGCTAAATTAGCAAAAATGCTAAAAAAATTCTAAACTTTCAAGAATTCTCTCAAATTAATTGTAATTAGTGTTGTTTACAATATATGGGCAAAGACCTATTTATAGTCTTTCCCGGAGCAATTTAGATGAGTACAAACTCTTACATAAATTAATAAAATAATATCCTAAATAAAATTCTATCTAATTATAGGATAATTATATAATAAAATATTTATTTTATCCCAAATAAATACATGGGCAAAGATTTATTTATAGTCTTTTGCGGAACAATCTAGATGAGTACAAACTCTTACATAAATTAATAAAATAATATCCTAAATAAAATTCTATCTACTTATAGGATAATTATATAATAAAATATTTATTTTATCCTATATAAATACAAAAAAATTAATTAAATAATTCTAGGAATAAAATTTACATTAAAATAATAATTAAAATAGAATATGACTTATCTCATATAATTTCTATATAAAACACATGGAAAAATTAATTTGGACATGTGAAATTTTAATTTAAAAACATGGGTAATTAAAAAGTGGGTCCCAAAGCCTTTTAAAA